ACTTAATTTTCCTAAGTCAATTCAATGTCTTCCCAAATAAGTCCATTTCCATTGAAATGTCAAATCCTGACCGCCAATGGAAGCCAGCATCCCTTGCCATCAGGAGAAAGCAACCATTACAACGAAATGCAGTGGAAACGGCATGGCCCCTGGGTTCCGGCTGGATGCTGGTCCCTGGCTGGGTGCGGCTCCTGGGAAGGGAAGGCTCCCATCCGCTCTTGTGGTCTCCCTGACAAAAGGGACCATTGTTCAAGGGACCATTGGCCATTGTTCAAGCACCAAACGAGATGGTTTTTTTTCTCCTATAATCAGGAACATTAGAAGAGAATGGAAAAGAGAATAACTGTCTGTTACTCCATTTTATTTTATGCTAAAATCACCTCGAATGCATCCACAATCATCTCTTTACATCAGCCAGGGTTGCCCATCTGGGGGACCCCAAGCTCTCCGCTGCTGAGGCCTCACCCTGAGCAATAACCACCATAAATCCTGGTCCGTGGGGCTCATGCTCATTAAAAGAAATAATTATTGCAATTAATCTCTTCCAAGTACCGCCTGAGCGCATCTGGTCTGCTCTCCAGGGGACAGATGCCGCCCTTTGGGAAATGCCAGGACACACTGAACTTCAAGTCCCATGGTCGGGAGCCCATGGAAACCCCCACCTTGATGTGCAGAGCCACGTCCCAGTGAGAGGACCCCACCCTTCCTGTTGCTGGGGGGCTGGAGAGAGCGTCAGGGCCAGAGCAATGTCGGAGAGACATTGTGCTCCGGAGATCATGCAGAAAGGAAGCTGGAGTAAATCGAGGCTGTAGTCCTGGTGAAGGGCCCCCAGGCAGTGGGTCCCCAGCCAACAGGCCAGCTCCCTCTGTGTCCTGTGCCCCTCCTCGGAGCTCCATGCCCCCCTGTGGAGCCCTGGGTATGGCTTCTGCACCACCATGCACCACACTCATCCAGAATTCAAGAGATTGCAAGTGGAAGAACCAGGCATTCCAGGTTTTACCACCATCGCTTACTGTGTTGCTTTGGGAAAATGGCTTAACCTCTCTGAGCCTCAGTTTCATCTGCTTGAAATAAGAATATTAATGATATTAACCTCATAGGTGTATTGAAGGAAATACACATGGAAGGGTTTATACTGTCTGGCCCAGTGCAGAGACTCAAAAAAGAGCAGCTCCTTCAAAGGGTAGGTTCTATGATGGGTGGTGGCAGAGTCCCATGCTGTATTCAGAATTTACTAGCAAAAGGGAGCCCTCCCTGTGCCCCAGAGCAGCTCGGAGCCTGGACAGCGACACCTCCACAGAGCTCTGACTCACTGTGCGGGAGGCTTTTCTCATTGGAGCGGAGTTCTGTTGGACAGCTCAGCCTGCCAGAGAAGCGCTCAGTCACCACTGACCTTTTCAAACCTAGTTAATTGCCTGGGTTTTAAGGTGATAGAGCTGAGATTTTGCCACATATTGATCCAGGGGTGCAAATTTGGCTCCTGGTTTCTAATTACTTCTTGAGGAGGAGGAGGTGGAAGTTGCTTGATACCGTCCATCTTCTCTGGGAGGAACAGGAAGATTCAGAAACTTGGTTTCCAATCAGCTTGGCCAGTGATGCAGTGTGTTGTCTCAAGTGGACAAGCTAACTTATCCCTTCGCCTTGTCATCGAGTCAGCAGATGCGCACCGAGCACTGTAACAGTCGGGCAGCGTGCTGAGCTCCGCACACACAGCAGTGCACAGGCCTCAGGTGGGTGGGGAGACAGGTGTGAGTCAGGTGATCACACATCTGAGTGAGCGTACTGCGCTGACATTGGGTGAGAAGTCTGGTGGCCAAGTCGGGGCAGTGGGAGGGGAGCCCCTTCAGGGGCACTCGGAAGTGGGAGCGTTGTCTGTGGGGGGTTAAAAGTCAGTTCGTAAAGGTTTTCTTTAAATTAATTAATTAATTAAAAATTATAAAAAAATAAAAGTCAGCCCATCGGTGCTTTTTTATCACCTTATGCTGGAAGTTGTAAACACCAGTATTAATAAAGTGCTCCTCCCTCCCTGGACAGCCCCCTCTCACCAGCCCTTGTCTCAGGTGCACCGCGAGAGGAGGAAGATCAAGTCACTCAGGCCAGGCTCCCAGGAAGGGGCAGCTTGAGCCGGGCTGGGGAGGAGAGCAGCGGTGTCCAGGCAAAGCAGCCAGACAGGTGCTCCCCAGAGGGCAGGGCAAGACTGCCCCTCGGCCAGTGGGGTGCAGTTACAAGGCCGGGACATGAGTGGAGTGGCCGTGGGGGGCGGGGGGAGGGCAGGGGAGGGGTTTGCAGGGGGAACAGGAGAGTGCATGTCCCAGGAAAAACGGCAGCACCTACTCCACTGCAGCTGATCCACTTTTAAGAGAAGCCAGGATTCCAGATCTTTATGTAAAATATGCTTGTTTTAAGTATTGACAACTTTTTCTAAAAAGTGTTGCATCAAATATCATCCACAAACTACAGAATAATAACATCCAAGCTTAACATGCAGAGTTAGCATTATCAGAACAAAGATAATTTACCACTTGATTTTGCTTTAAGTTGGTCTCAAAGTTACTCCAGTTTACCATTTTCTGCTCTGTGGTTCGAACGGCCATCGTGATTCAGATCCCTCTTCTGTTGTTATTATTACACATCAAACTGCTTCAAGAGAAGGTCGGAACATGTGTACAACAGAGAAATGTCCTTACTTTCCAATGGTAAGGAAAAAATTACAAAGCTTCCTTTAACTTCTGCCATCCTGACTAAATGTCAGTCGAAACACAACCCAGTATGAGAGCTATAAAAGCACACTCTACAATAATGTCAGCTGAATCAGCTATGCCCCAGGTCAACACCTGAGCTGGCAGGTGGAGCTAATAGGTGCTCTTTGCTCATTCCCGCCATTAATCTCAGGAAATCATGGTATCTATAATTTTAAGAATCTTTTCTATTACAGAACCATGGCATTGTTAAGTTGGAAAGACCTTGGAGGTTGTCCAGTCTAATCCAGAGAGGTCATGGCTTTCCCGTCACTGAATGGATGCCCGAGACTACAGCAACAGAGCTGGATTCTACATGGGAGCCTCTGTAGGAGCCTTACCGGGAGGGAGGCGTCATCCCACTTCATCCTCTGGGCAGCGTCCTGCTCCAGGTCCAGCAAATCTTCATATACTACTCTGAGATTGGGCTACTCCCAGGCTACTTCTTCCCTCTTATTCAGAAGGGAAATCAGCTGTAAGACAGGAGAGAGTGCAGAGAGGGGTTCTGGAGGGTTTGGGTATCACCTGAGGTCACATAATTGATGATCTTATGTTTTAAATGTACATTTTAATGCTTCACACAAAAGAGGCGGAAGACGCTAATTAAACCAAAAAAGATGAGTGAATGAGTGAGTGAGTGAATGAATGAATGAATATATCCAGAGGCCCACATCATCATGGCTGACACTCTATTTCCCTGTCTATACAAAAAATTAACAGTACAGCAAAACATATAACCAATAGGGATCCAAATCTTTACCCCATTCTCATGACTCTTCATAAGACATAGGATATTATCCATATACGTCAAACATTATCTAAAACACTGTGTACCCATTTCTGCCCCTCACCATCCTCCACGTGGAAAATAACTGTTCCCCAAACTTTAACTTCTCCTGAAATCTTCCCTGGCAACCCAGCCGCCATGGTTCTTCTGATGTTCTTCTTCCTCCTCTTTGCCCATTTTTGTTTGTTTGTTTGTTTCACTGGGTAGTTCCCTTGGGCCTCTCTGACTTCTTTCATTTTTGCTTTCCCTTCTCGTTATACAGATTCTACTTAACTGAGGAAAGCCAGGGCCTGATGCCCAAGCAAAACTCACTTCCTTTTACAAAGCGAGAGCAAAGGAAAGACTGAAAATATTATAGACTAATCTCCATCCCATTTACACACAAATAGACATGTATTTACCAGATGTATTTCTGTGTGTAGAACTTAGAAACGTGTTATTTTCTCTCGATCACAGCAGCTGTGGCAAAGCTGTGTATACTCAATATAATGCCAAGTGCTGGCACGGAATTCACAGCAGCAGAGAACTCTACCACTGAAAATGCTGAAAAGTTACGGAAATCCAGTGGGAAATCTCAGATCAGCCTCTTAGAGTCCAGGTGGGCGTTTTTAAAAACTGTCAAGGGGGCCACTTGTAGACAGTCACTTAGCCCTCTCAGAATTCAACCGTCGGAGGAAAGAGAAAACGGAACTCTTCCCAGTCCCTGAGAGTGCTGTTGGTTGGTGTTTAATTACTGAGGGGGAAAGGTTCAGTTTCACTTTTCATTATTAAGGCCAGTTTTTACTTCCTTTAATTAAAATGTGCATAATACACCCTATTCTCCTGCCCTGCTAACGAGACCAGGCAGAGGCTTACGCTTCGTCTCAGCCGCTCGGCAATATCGTGCCCTGCTCGTGTCTGCTATGGAGTTTCATGGATTGGGACCTGTTTACCTCACACTCAGGTCCTAAACCAGCCGTGGGCAAACTACGGCCCGCAGGCCGGATCCGGCCCTTTGAAATGAATAAAACTAAAAAAAGGACCGTACCCTTTTATGTAATGATGTTTACTTTGAATTTATATTAGTTCACACAAACACTCCATCCATGCTTTTGTTCCGGCCCTCCGGTCCAGTTTAAGAACCCATTGTGGCCCTCGAGTCAAAAAGTTTGCCCACCCCTGTCCTAAACCCACAAGGTGGGAAGTCTGTGTGGAGGAGGTGGGGAAAGAAAAGGAGAAGCAATTGTTCAGTTTGCTCAACTGGATACCCAGATAAATCAAACAGGAAAACAACAGTCACCTCAAACTTCTCAAACTCCCTTTTCTTAGTTCCTCGGGATGTCGCCTTTATGTCATCCTAGCACCCACAGCACCTGGCGTTGTATCAGGCCCCATCTCGCTATCATAACAGTTAAATAACGAAAAATGCAAACTGCTGCTTTTTTTTACTTTTATTTTTTTTAATATTTTACAAACTAGAGGGAGGGAGGATTTATTCACAGCAGGACATGATCAACAGATACATGAACAGTGGTACCAGGGACAGCAGGGGGGAAGGGCACTTTGGGGTGCTTCTGCCGCAGGTGTTTGTCCAGGGTGGCCCGCAGGCAGAAGGGCACACGGCAGTGGGGGCACTCAAAGCGGGCACCTCCGGGCCCCAGACCGTGTATGCTGCGGTGGCGGCTAAGCTTGCTCCTCTGGGCACAGGCAAAGGAGCAGAGGTCGCAGGTATAGGGCCGCTCCCCGGTGTGTGAGCGCCGGTGCACAGTCAGATTGCTGCTGTCGGTGAAACGTTTCCCACAGAACTCACAGCTGCCCCCGGGCCCATGGCTCTTGCCCACTGTCTTTGGAGTCTTCTTAGGCAACTTCTCTGGGATCTGGGCAGAGTTGATTCTCTCTTCCTTGATGGCGTTGCCCCAACTGTCCCCACCAGGACCAGCCTGAGCTCCACCACCTGGAGCCCCCGGTTCCTGCACACCTGCTGTGTCGGCAGCTCCAGCCCCTTCAGGGCTGCACAGGAGAGTCCTGGCTAGGGCAGCGTCATGGGCGGCTGGCTCTGGAGGGGCAGCTGAGGCCTGTTCCTGACTGGCCTTGGCCGTGTAGGGGCTCTGAGGTTGCAGCTGCCGGTGGGTCTTCTTGTGGCGGTTGAGCCTGCTGCTGTGGGCACAGGTGTAAGAACACTGGCCACAGGCATAGGGCCGCTGGCCCGTGTGGGAGCGCATGTGCACCTTGAGGTTGCTGAAGGTGCTGAGGGTCTTCATGCACACAAGGCAGGTGGGGCTCCTGTTGGCCCGGGAGCCCTTGGCCTCCACTTGCTGCCCCACCACTGCTGACCTGGCTGCAGCCACCTCTGCCGGGCCCAGCAGCAGAGTCTCTAGGGCCTCAGATTCCGTCCGGTAGATGGACAGTCCATGGCCCCACTGGGCATGGCGCAGCAGTGTCCAGGCCTTGGTAAACTGTCGGCCACAGCGGAGGCAAGTCAAAGCCTTCAGGTTCTCAAGTGCTGAGTCCGGGCCAGGGCTGGGGCCTTGAGAGGGCTGACAGCCCTGCTGCTTGTGGTCCACGAAAGCCGTGATGGCCTCCAGCGGGAAGGTCTGCAGGCAGAGGCCGCAGGTCAACGTATCTGGGTGTTTGTTAGTCCAGGGCTGGCGGTCCTGAGGATTAGGGACCAGAGAAGTCCACGGCGCGGACTGGTTCTGCAAGCCGAGGGCAGGGAGGGGACGGGCACCGGGGTAGGGCAGGAGCGGGGTGCGCCCTCGAGGCCGCCTGGAGCGGGCGCTTCCTTTGGAGAACCCCGCAGCAGCCCCGCGGCCTGTAGGGGCCACGGAGGTGGCTCGGGCTTCACGTCGATGACCAGGTCCCCCATCTCCGTCTCATCGTTGGTGTGGGCGGCGGACTCGGGGTCTACTCGCCTGGGCTTGCAGCCGGCCTTGCAGCAAGACATGGGTAGTGGTGCAGAGGATCCGGCGGGCTGGTGGGCTAGGGGGCTGGGGGGCTGGGGGCTGGGGCCTGGGGGCTGGAGGTCCGAAGGCGCGAGGCGTGTGCGCTCCTGTGGAGATGCTCAGGTGAGTGACTGCAGCGACTGGCCTTGAACTTTTATACGCGCTAGCCCAGCCGTGGCTCCGCCCACCGGGGCGGGGCCTGATGGGAGCAGAAGGGGAGCCCCACAGGGGCCCGGCTGGAGGTCAAACTCAGTCTGAGCCTTGCCCAGGCCAATTGGCTTAAGGACTACACCTAAGGGCATCGAGCTCACGCGGCCAGCATAGGAACGGCGACTTCAGACCCCGTTTTAGGGCTGGTGAAACTGAGGCAGAGCATCCCCACAAACATCCAGGAGGGAGAAAATGGTAGGGGCTACGTTTCTAACCGTGCCCCATCAGTATCTTGGACTCTTTCAGTTAATACATAATAAAAATTCACTGGGCAAACCTCTATTGCGTGCCTATGGTGCACCAGGTACTGTTCTAAGCACTGGGGACACTGCAGCAAACCCAACAGACCATAATCCCTGGCCCCCGAGTTTACTGGTTCAGGGAGACTATGCTCAACAAGATAACTATGTAAAAGAGAGTGCCTTCCTGGGTGACCTGTGTCACCTGGAGCCAAACAAAGCTAGCAAGGGTTATAAAGGGGCAGGGTGAGGTGGAGGTGGGGGGGTACTCAAATTTCTCCCCGCACCAGGGAAAGTATGGTGGCGTTGAGACCTGAGGGATGTGAGGGAGTAAGCCAGTCTCTGTTCAAGAATAACAAGGAGAGGGGACTCTTTCCCCCTCCTCACGTGGGAGTCTGTACTTGTTCTTCAATAAATTTCCACCTTCGCTAGACAAAATAATAATAATAATAATAATAATAATAGCCGAAACCGGTTTGGCTCAGTGGATAGAGCGTCGGCCTGCGGACTGAAGGGTCCCGGGTTCGATTCCGGTTAAGGGCATGTACCTGGGTTGCGGGCACATCCCCAGTGGGAGATGTGCAGGAGGCAGCTGATCGATGTTTCTCTCTCATGGATGTTTCTGGCTCTCTATCTCTCTCCCTTCCTCTCTCTGTAAAAAATCAATAAAATATATTAACAAAAAAAAAAAACAATAATAATAATAATAATAATAATAACAACAATGATGCCGAAACCGGTTTGGCTCAGTGGATAGAGCATCAGCCTGCGGACTGAAAGGTCCCAGGTTCGATTCCAGTCAAGGGCATGTACCTGGGTTGCGGGCACATCCCCAGTAGGAGATGTGCAGGAGGCAGCTGATCGATGTTTCTCTCTCATCAATGTTTCTAACTCTCTATCTCTCTCCCTTCCTCTCTGTAAAAAATCAGTAAAATATATATAAAAAAATTTTTTTAAAAAATAATAACAATGATAATAATAAATAAATAAAAATAACAAGGAGGGAGGAGAAGGACAGGAGGGGGGTTGAGCTCTGAGAAAATGGAGTCAGCTGTGAGAGGGTCTTTTGACCACTTGAAAGTCTTGGTTTTTGGAGAGGTGAGTCTTGCGGGGGGCCTGGGGGGGAGGGAGGGGGCGGGTTTGAGCAGAAGAGGATTATGAAGGTGTATGCTGGAAGCCGATCCACCTTGGCTGCTTGATGCAGTCGCTGCAGGGATGTTTCAAGGGACCTGGCATATATGGCATACTGTTCTTAATATGTTTGCTCCCCCTCTTAACCTCCCCAAGAAAGGTTGTTTCCCCAGGTGAGGATTTTTATCAGTAAACCCTTTAACTAAGTGCCAGAGGGGTAGTTAATCACTTTAACTACGAACAATCACCCTTAAGCTACATAATCTTTACATAGAATTGCCTCCTTCAGTTACTTCCTTGTAGTTTAATAGAACAATAGAGTAACCTTGGAATGGAGATAAGAAAGCCCTAACCTTTGGAATAGAGTGGATAGGATTAAGATCAAATAGTATAAATACAGATGTAAAAGGAAAATAAAGAGAGGAACCTGGCTATGATGATCACCTGAACACTGCCTCCATGTCATTCATTCTTCGCCGACTCCGTCCACACCTTTGGGAACCCCTGGACCCGCTGGGGCTGGACCCCAGCAGGTGTACACATCTACTCTGCTCCTACACCGGGAATAGCCATGAAAGCCAAATGGCCAACTGTCTTGCCTCTCTCCACTCAGCCTCCTTGAACTTCCCTCCTCAAAGCAGCTCTTTCAGATCACTGTTTGAAGTGGCATCAACACCCTGCCCCACCCTCCATCCTTTACAAGTTTTCTTTTCTTCCTGACACCAACCACATCATAATACAGAAGGGTTTCTTGACTGTGCTCTCCCTTCCCCCACCCTATACAAGGCTCCTTAAGGTCAGGGGCTGAGTCTGCCCTCCCCCAGACTCCCCAGCCCAGCACTCCAGCACTCCAAAAGGTTTTGCTTTTAATGAAGTCCAGCTCATTAATTGTTTCTTCATATATAGTGCCTTTGGTGCTGTATCTGAAAAATCATTACCATACTCGAATTTACATAGGTGAGCAAACTGCTTTTTTTTCTTTTGATTAGTTAAATCTTTATTGTTTTGATTATTACATTTGTTCCTCTTTTTTCCCCCATAACTCCCCTCCACCCAGTTCCCACCCCACCCTCCTCCCTCACTCCCTACCCACTGTCCTCATCCATAGGTGCATGATTTTTGTCCAGTCTCTTCCCGCATCCCCCTCACCCCTTTCCCCCCCCCCAAGAATAGTCAGTCCACTCCCTTTCTATGTCCCTGATTCTATTATAATCACCAGTTCATTCTGTTCATCAGATTATTCACTTGATTTTCAGATTCACTTGTTGATAGATGTGTATTTGTTGTTCATAATTTGTATCTTTACCTTTTTCTTCTTCACCCTCTTCTTAAAGGATACCTTTCAGCATTTCATATAATACTGCTTTGATGGTGATGAACTCCTTTAGCTTTTCCTTATCTGTGAAGCTCTTTATCTGACCTTCAATTCTACATGATAGCTTTGCTGGATAAAGTAATCTTGGTTGTAGGTTCTTGGTATTCATCACTTTGAATATTTCTTGCCATTCCCTTCTGGCCTGCAAAGTTTCTGTTGAGAAATCAGCTGACAGTCGTATGGGTACTCCCTTGTAGGTAACTGACTGTCTTTCTCTTGCTGCTTTTAAGATTCTCTCTTTGTCTTCCTCTTGGCATTTTAATTATGATGTGTCTTGGTGTGGTCCTCTTTGGATTCCTTTTGTTTGGGGTTCTCTGCACTTCCTGGACTTGTAAGTCTATTTCTTTCACCAGGTAGGGGAAGTTTTCTCTCATTATTTCTTCAAATAGGTTTTCAATATCTTGCTCTCTCTCTTCTTCTGGCACCCTTATGATTCGGATGTTGGTACGCTTGAAGCTGTCCCAGAGGCTCCTTACACTATCTTCGTATTTTTGGATTCTTTTTTCATTTTGCTTTTCCAGTTGGGTGTTTTTTGCTTCTTCGTATTTCAAATCGTTGAGTTGATTCTTGGGATCCTCTAGTCTGCTGTTGGGAGTCTGTATAATATTCTTTATTTCAGTCAGTGTATGCTTAATTTCTAGTTGGTCCTTTATCACAACCTTGAGGTTCTCATTAGATTTCTTGTAGATCTCATTAAGTTTATCGGCAGTTTCTAGAAAATTCTTGAAAAACCTTAAAAGTGTGGTTTTGAACTCTATATCCAGTAGTTTGCTTTCCTCCATTTCTGTCATTTGTGTCCTTTTTATTTGTCTCCGCACTTTTTATGCTTCCCTGTGTTGATACAGTGGTTTTCTGTGCTAAGTGTCCTCTAGGGCCCAGTGGTTCAGCCTCCCCAGTTACCTGAGGAGGACACTCTTGGTGCACCCCCTTGTGGTCTTTGTGCACAGTCTTGTTGTAGTGAAGCCTTGATTGTTGTAGGTATCACTGGGAGGAATTGACCTCCAGGCCAATTAGCTGTGAGAATATGCTGTGTCTGCAGTGGGAGAACTTCTGTGCTGGAGACACTCCTCCAGGGCAAGACTTGCTTCAATGGGGCTTTGGTGCTCATTGAGTCTGCCCACTGAGTGTGTCCTTTATGGTTCCATGGAGCTGCAAACTGGATGGTCCCACTCTGACCTCTGGGTACATTGGCTCCTGGATCTCTAGGGAGGTGCTAATCTAGCCTCTGCCTTAGGCTATCCAGCAAAAGCCTCCCTGCAGGGCTTGGGCGGGGCGGGTCCCACTGGATCAACAGGGCAGGGCTAGCAGTTATGGCTGCTCTCAGAGGCCCCGCTTCTCAGTGTCTCAGCAATCGCTGCAAGCCCCTCGGAGAGAAAGCTGCCCTCGAGTTCCGACCGATGCCAGACAGTCCCGCTTCTCCTGTATGAGTCTGGGTCCCCAGAGACTCGCCCAGAACTGGAGCTCAGAGCCTGAGACTCCCTCCCGATTGAAAATGACAACCGGGCCCTCAGTCGCCATCCCGCTCCGTGTGCACCTCTGTACTTTAGTATTTTACTTCCACACTGCGCCTCCTCTGAGTCTCGGTATGCTTTTCTCTTTCCTTCTAGTTGTAGAATTTCCACTCAGCCAGCCTTCCTGTGATTCTGGATGATGTCCGTTCTGTCTTTTAGTTGTATTTTTGAAGTGGTTGTTCGAGGCAGCAAATTCCGGTGTTTACCTATGCCTCCATCTTGGTTTCTCCGCAAACTGCTTTTTGACAACCCCTCTCTCCAAGTTAAAGAATGGCTTTTACATTCAAATCGATCTGAAAGAAAGCATTTTAAAATCCTGTCATTGCACACCTTAAGTGCCTGCTAGGACACTCGGTGAATTTCACCACTGTTAAAACAGCAGCCAAAATAACCCAACTAAATCAATGAAAGAGAAAACCCGCGTGAGGCCTGAGCAATATGATTGGGAAACGGTCTCTGCTTTGGCAGAAGATTAGCATCCAGGAATGCAACCATTTCCATCATCAGTCCAACTTCATAACTGATCTCAGCAATAG